GGCATCCAAGGCCAAAGACTTTCCAATTCATGTGTGCCCAAGGAGAACTTGGCCTTCTCTATCCCGGATCTCCATGTGCATGTAGTTTTAGGGTTTCAGTGTTTTTTAAGATTGCCAACTGTGCTGACCCCAGGCCCTGAAACTTGCATGGTGTTTATCCTTCAGAAATATGACCGTTAGCACTGCAAGCATATCGTCTAATGTTTGCTTCCATATACCTGAAGGACATAATAAGGATTTTAGTGGTAGTATGTTTAGGAAATGCTGATTGTTAAGCTAGGATTTTCTGAACTTTTGTAAATGAATTATTTTTCAATAAATACTTATATTTTGTGATGACTGGCTCTGATCATTTCCTTATAGGAAGAAGTTTGACTCCTGATTTGGTGTTTCAGATAATTGGACAACAATTCTCAGGATTTAGGCCTGCCAGCAGGCCATGAAGTTACCAAGGATGAGGCAAATGTGCTCTTTGGCCATAAAAAAACACCAGCAACCAGCTGGTGAAGAATCGCTGCTTTATTATGCACAGGGTGTCCTAGTGGCTAAAGTCCTCACCTGGAGTACGCCAGGATTCCATATGGGTGCTGGTCCTAATCCCAGCAGCTCCACTTCTCATTCAGCTCCCTGCCTGTGGCCTGGGAAAGCAGTAGAGTACGGTCCAAAGCCTTGGGACCCTGCATCCACGATGGGGACCCGGAAGACGTTCCTGGTTCCTAGCTTTGGATCGGCTCAACTCTTGATACCAAGTCCAAGATGTTGACTGCATAAACAAGGTCAACAAGATATAAAATAACTATAGTTGCTGGGACCAAAATGGGATTGGAGCAAATACCACCCAGGGTCAGAGAAGGCATCATGCAGGGCAGGAGAAGGGGAGATGGTGTGAGCAATCTGATACTTGCCGCGGGAGGACCAACCATCTCTGTTGGAGCCCCCAGTGTCTCAGAACACAGCTCAAGACCACTGGGGGACATGGTGTGCATGAATTTGTGCCTACACTGCTCACCCAGAGCTCCTAGTACCCCACAGACGGCAGCAGGGTTGTACAGCAAGAAGACTAGTCCCAAGCTAGGAAGGAGGAGGCCAGGGGCTGAGACCCAAACACCAGAGCCTGGTGATTTCCCTACAGACATGGATCACACACTCCAACATGCATTAAAATACACAACAGGTCCAAGTCCTCATGATATATTTGAAAGGCATATTTTACAGAGAGAGGAGAGGCATCTAGCGAGATATCTTCCATGTAGCAGTTCATTCCCCTAAAGGGCTGCAATGGCCAGAGCCAGGCTGGTCTGAGGCTAGGATCCAGGTGCTTCTTCCAAGTCTCCCAAGTGGGTGCAGGGTCCCAAAGACTTGGGCCATCCCAGGCCATAAGCAAAAATCTTAATTAGAAGAGGAGCATCTGGAACATGAACCAGCACCTGTATGGGATGCTGGTGCTACAGGGCTGAAGATTAGCCTTCTATGCTACCATGCCAGCATGATCTCCTATTCTTTTTCATCATCCTGACTATTCCTTTATAATTAGTATGCTATTTTCATCACTCTAGTTTCATAAAATCTTTTAACACGGATCACCCCAATTCTTTCTAATTATGATTTGTATTATATTTCCTGACTTTTCTAGGATTCATTTTTTTTCCTTAAGAGCTTTAAAATCATTTCATGTGGTCTTCACAGTTTCTCTTTCTTTTTTAAAGATTTACTTATTTTTGTTGGAATGGCAGATTTACAGACAGAAGGAGATATGGAGAAAAATAATTTCCATCCACTGGTTCACTCCCCAAATAGCTCCAAAGGCTGCAATGGCTGGAGCTGAGATGATCCAAAGCCAGGGACTTTCTCTGGTTTCCCTGGAGTGGATGCAGGGTCCCAGGGCTTTGGCTGTCCTCCACTGCTTTAGCAGGCCACAAGCAGGGAGCTGATTGGAGAGTGGAGCAGCTGAGACTTGAATCAGCACCCATATGGAATCCCAGTGCTTGCAAGGGGAGGATTAACTAATTGAGCCATTATCCCGTGCCCCACAGTTTCAATAACTCCCTTTTTATTTTCTCTAAATGTTTTCTTTTTGGGAAGGACATTTGGTTTCTAGAATCTCTGGAAGTTTCACCTCATTAAACCTCTCTCTGTGCTTTTAGGTGCTTGCTCTAGCTGAGGACCAAGCACCCCAGACCACATCCACCACCCACCACTCACTCTTCTCCTTCCTGCCTTGGCCCATTCCATTGGTCATGAAATCTACTTGCTTAGCCTGAAGTTGCCATCTGACCTTTTAATACTGGCCTGGTCCCAGCCACTTACACCTAAACTGAAGTAATCAGGAAATTAAAAAATAAATATCTAGAAAGACTAACAGTGAGGTCACTGGGTCTCTGTTTAGATCAGAGGACTTGGTGACATCTGAAAAACACTTTAAGTCCTACAAGTAAGACTTGCAAGTGAGAGTTTGGAATTTTATTTCCTCCACTCTTTGACTTTTTCACCTCATTCATTTTTCTCCCTACCAAATAAATATGGAAAGTACCTTTTTTCCCCTGGATCCCTCCTAAGTCCCTCTTTGTGGCTAAAAGGTGATTCAGCCGGGCTGTCAGAGAGAACGTACAGGCTCTACAGTGGATGGAGGGCAAATGTTCAAACATATCCAGTGGAGGAGAACTGGCGTGCTGCATTAACAATCCCCAACTTTCACTCTACTGCCAAGTGGATCCGGCTGACAGCTAAGGGCTATGGTTTCCCGTAAGTTTTATCAAGCTTCCAGAAGGCTCCACTGAGCAATGTCGTATCCCCAAGTCATTCTGCAATCACCATGGCCACAAGAGAGTGGATTTCAGAAATGTACACTCATTCTTATCTGCTACTACCCAGAAGTGACACATGTCACAGGTTCATGCCTGCCTACACAAATTAGAGAAAAATTATAGGCTTTTATAGGGTTTCTGTGATTAGCCACATAGAGACCTGTAAATCAGACTATTCAAGTGGACCAGGATAAAGAGGATCTTGATCTTGGCCTCTGAGGAATGTGTTAATCGTACAAGGAGCTCCTATAACTCACCAATTGTCCTAAACCCACTTCTTGAGCATCTCTGTTGTCCACTGGCAGAACACAGTTCTGATTTCTCTGTAGTGTTAGGGACAAGCTACAGGATCTGTACGGATTTCACTAGCCATTTCCATCTGTACATCCAGTGCCTAGATAAATACTTGACACAGAAATGTTTATAAATAATATTTTATTTTCCCTAGCAGAGGTTTATTTTTCACTCCTGCACATAAAATTTGGGTAATTGAGAAAGATCAGGAACACCATTAAAACTAACATGAAGGTGGCTGAGAATTTCTAGAACTTCTGCAACTCCCTTGTCTGGGTTGCTTGTCAAGAGAATTCAGAGCAAAGCCAGGGTCCTAGGACAGCAAGTGACAGATGGCTGTCTACCAGTTGATCACTGTGGGACTGGGAGGGTCTGGAGACAGGAGGGTTGAGAAGCAGAGGGACACTGGGGAACGTTCTGATACACTGGACCCCTGTTTTCTGAGGCAGTATCCAGGAATGTTCCCCCTTCCAGATATGGATGAATCTCAGGCTGTTCACGTGATGTCCCCTGGCATTGCAAGGGGCATTGTAGTCTCCAAAGATTGAAGAGTTCCTCAGCACCTAAGTAACAGAGCAAGAGCCTGCCCATCATGCCTGGTGTGAGGTGGACACGGTTTGCCCTCTGTGTTGCCCTTTTCCCGTGGATGTTGGAGCAACAGAGCCCTGCTTGTCCCAGAAGGGAGCTGAGAAATACTGCTGCAGCTGCATCTACAGAGCTCAACCGAAACCTCCTTACCCGTCTCTATGGTAAGTCAGACCCCCATGGCCTTTGGTGTCAGTGGCTTTGAAGATTCTTTTTAGGGTTTGGGGATTCTCAGCACTCTTAACTCTTTGTACAGCAGTTACTCTTGTAATAAGTTACTCCTCTTGTCAAAGCACAAACCAACCAACCAACAAATCAGGCTTGATTGGACTTGGTGGGCATCACGTGGGGTGGGTCTTCCCAAATTGGAATGACCTTCCACAGGCTGTACTTCACTGCATGACCCACCCTCAAATTCAGGTAACTGGCTCAGGGTTAGGTATCTGAAACAGGCAGCCTGTTGGCACCAGCATTCCAAATTACTATCAGGTGAGATTTTCTTATCTCCATGCAGCAGGGTCAGACCCATGATTTGCTGTGATTACTCAGTCAATACCAGAGAACTGAGAAAGAGATCGCAAGATGCAGAAGCCAGGAAGGTGGCAATGACAATGCTGTGCTCCCCAGTCCCATTGGCACTCAATCAGAACTCTCTCTTCTCAGGAAAAAAAAATAATAAAAAGAAAGAAACCAAACCTGCTGTTCCTTGGTTTAAATCAGTTGCAGTGGTTTGGTCTCCCTTGTAATGAAAAGAGCCCTTCAAAGGCCCTTCCACGAATGGGTGCAGGTGTACCCTCTGTTCCAGAGAACTGTTTGCTCACTGTTGTGTAACTGCTGTTTCATAAGCTGCCAGGAACTGGGGGCTTTTTTTTTTCCCCAGTAACAGGAGAAAGATCTTAGCAGATAGCCTGGACTGTGTACTGCCTGGGATTGTGACTCCAGTTTTTAGAAATGCTGCCCTATGGAGAAGGTATGGTTGCAAGAAAACTCAGAGGAAACATCAGAGTATGGGTCGGTGTTCCCATCCAGAAAGAATGGTTTCTCTGGTCGTTGATTTCCTCTTTGGGGAGATGCTTTGTGTTGGCCTCATTTAAGGACCCATAGTTCATCCAGTTTCTGTTGCCACGTCTTGCACACAGGTCTTAATTTGCCTTGGACACATTGTGTCAGTAAAATTCACCAAATATGCATGGGTCTCTGGCCTATATATTTATAGATCAAAAATGATAAGTGTGGGGACCAGGATGACCTCCTGTGTCCTTGCACAAATCTCCTATTGTCATATTCTGGTTTCAATAGCTCGAAAACAAGCAAGATTTAACTAGATTATCCCTAAACTGAGTGGGGGAAAGAATCTTCCTGGAACTTCCAGGCAAGAGGAGGGTTGGAGCGAAGTTGAGCATGATGAGATTCCCTCTGCTCTAAAGTGCCCTGAGATCCAAGATGGATTGAGAATCATGCAGCTGGCATGTCTCCCATGAGCCAAGAGCAGTCACAATGGCGAGAATGGAGAGAGATGTTCAGATGCATGGAGTGTGTATGGGGAGGTGGTGTATGCTAGTACAGAGATGTGCATGCTGGCGGGGCAAGCAGACAGTCCCTTCTGGGTCACTTTTCTGTGCTGTGTAGTTTCTTGGACTCAGGCCTTGAAGCAAGCAATAACCAGGGGCTTCCAGCTCTGGAGTTCTAGCCTGCATTGGTTAGAGAAGTCTGGGGTTAAGGCATATGCACACAGGAGCCATCAACTTGTAGAAGAAGCCAGGGAACAGGATGAGCTCGCTTCTGCAGTTGAGTTAAGGAGAGAAGAGAGCTGAAGGCTGAGATTCTATTATTCTGCCATTAAGGAGTGGAAGAGGGGTAAGGCAAGAGACACTGTTAAGGAGAAGCCAAATGAAAAAGAGCAAAGGCAGGGAAGAACTGTGCTCTGGAAGCCAAGAAGAGAAAGAATTTGAAAGATGAAAGAATAATCATTCATGGCCAAAGGCAGCTGGTGTTTAAGAAAGAAGGCTGCGTTGTGTTATGGAGAATTCATTTGAGATCTACTTCTAATGTTTGCAGTTAGAAAGCTAGTCCCTTTCTGCCCTGTGTGTGAAGGCAGTCTTGCATTTTACTGACACAGAAAAGAGCTCTTTGCAATAACCCTACCTTTCGTAGAGGAGCCTGGATGCTAGAGGTGAGCATCTTTTATTAGGATGTTGGCAGCACATGAGTCTGGGCCTGACTTGCTAGCCAGGCTCCCTGCCCCAACCACCTGTGGCAACTCAGAACTCGCAAACCACAAGGCGTTGCTCTCCACAAACCTTGTCATTCCACTTGCCATTGCTGAAAATCTCCACACAGTTTTCAGAACCACCGTTGTTGTTGGGCTCCCCTGGGGCCCAGTTGGAATAGACTAGGGGCTCCCCAGTGGGGTAGGTGAATGTGCCTTCTTTCTTGGTGTCAGTCATGCTCAGGAAGGCAGCCTTGTTCTTCATGGTGAGCAGCTCTTGCAAGGCATGGTTCTCAGCTGCATTGCGTGGAGAAGGCAACTTCCCACCAGCCTGTGCACACACCTGCTGTGCCTCCTCATAATGTTTTTCAAAGCCTGCTACCTTGAAGATCTTCTCCCCAACACCTTGGCCATCAGGAAAGAGAACGACTAGAGACGAAGAAAGTTAGGTTGTGATTATGGTAAACCCATGGTCCAGGGTCAGCAACTCTGAAACCAGAGCAGGGTGGGCAGGAGTGAAGGTCAACTAAATTGCTCTAAACTTGGGCATCAATCTGTTCCCACAGGACATAGTCTTGGCCTTGCTTTTGCTAGCCTGATGAGCGGGGCCATTCTGCCACTTGTCACTTTAATTTTTTCTACCAGCTTTTGAACCTTGTGGTTACCCCACTTCAGCTCAGCCCTAGCCTCAACCCCACTCCCTGCCCCAATCCCAGGTCTAGCCCTAGTCACAGTCTCCCTAATTTTCTCTATTCGCAATTCCTGGGCCAGATTAAGCCTCAGGTCCAGTCAATCCCACTCCTACCCCTCCAGTCCCCAAACCTAGACTGGGGTCCAACGTCAGATTCAGGAACATACCTTTCCTGTATTGAGAGAAGGCAGCCTGGAGGTGCTGTAGCTGTCCCTGTAAGGCCTCCATCTGTTGCCTCAGAGTAGTGATATCTGCAGGGGAGAGAAGTAGCTTTGTGAAGACTTGTCTAATCTTACCCAAGGGTAGCTCTTATCCAGGACTTCCCAGATAGGATATTCCATTCCACCTGTTAGGACTGAAGGAAAGGAGTCAGACGGACTCCTAGCAAAGCCTGCATCTGCCAACACAGCTGGTCCCTGTGCAGTAATTAGTTTAATGATTCTTTTATAGTCAAACAGAACAAGCCCCTGTACTGCAATGATAATGGTATGATATAATGATAATATTTTGACCCAACATCTGCCAATACAGGGGTATCTTCACTTTGGGAGAGGGGACAAGAATACACACTCCTCACCACTTCCCGTTCTTTGGGTTATTTGATGTTCAAAACTGTCCTCTGAGAAGGGAAGAAAGAGCCCACACTCTCCGTCCTCCCATGAGTCCTGGATGATTCAGACCAGAATCTGTTTTTCTTGCCTTCTAGTCTGTCCTGAGGTCCCCTCCCCTCCTATCCTTGATGGCCATATGTTCCAGAGGAGGGATGGTCCCTTCTCTCCTCTCATGCCCAAGGAGATTCCCAGAACCAGAAGCCTCCTTCCTTACCTGGCAGTCCACTTTCACCTTTGGCTCCTCTGTCTCCAGGAGCACCTCTGTCCCCCTTCAGTCCTGGGGGCCCCCTGGCTCCTGGGGCTCCCTGTGGACCTGCAGCTCCAGGAGATCCTGGGGTCACAAAAGAGTTGCGTGAGCTGTGTGGCCCGTTGCTCACCATTTTTACCCCTTCTCTGTACCTGGACTGACCAGTATACACAGCTCCTCGTATACAGAAAGTACCCAGACCTCAGACACACACCTTCTCTGGGTCTGCATTAACCTCCCCTGAGTCCTACTGTTCAAAGAATCCATGAGATAACTTCCCTGGGCACAGATGATGCCCATGGCTTAGCACTGCCCTGAGCTCCAGTTGTCTACAGTCCTTCAATATAGACTCTATCCAACACCCAGAAATGCCATCTCTGACTTCCTTGTGGTGATGGCTGGTGAGCTAGACCTGGCACTACCAAGCAGGCACAAGAGAACCAACTTCAGCTCCACATGAGCTCTGTCTACACTCACCAGCACTTCCAGGGGCTCCATGCTCACCAGGGGAACCTCTCTCCCCCTTGAGACCTGGAGGTCCCCTTGTTCCTGCAGTGCCCTGTATGCCTGGTGCGCCGACTTCTCCTGGAAAGACACACAGAGGGACAAACACTATGAGAGTGTGTTGTAGCCTGTAATATTTCCTTGGTCACCAACCATTGAATCCCCACACCCAGAGATGGAGAAAGAACTTGGGGAGATTTCTTATTGCTGCATGGGGCTCATCCTGGTGCATTAGAGGGAATGTGTGACTGTCAGGGAGTGGGTGCTTGGCAAAGCCTTCATGCTCTGTGCTCTCCCTGCCACAATCAGGATGCCTCAAACTGCATGGTGGCTGCCATAGTCATTTCTCCTTTCTCCCTCTCAGACTGGCCATGTATCATCCATCTACCTTTGGGCCCAGTCTCTCCTTTTGGGCCTGGTTTTCCTTGAGGTCCTATGTTCCCCTGCTTTCCTGATGCACCTTCTCTTCCAGCTGGACCAGGCATTCCTGGAAGTCCTGGAGGACCTGCAGGGGGAAAAAGGATTAGCTTTGTTAGTGATACTATAGGTCAGACATAATAAAGGTCAAAGAAGGAACATCTTCCAATACCCTAGTAGTGGGTCTAGTGGGTCTTGCAATAACCCAGTACAGCCTTTACCAGGACATTCGTCCTACTTCCTGGCATGAGCCATGCACATGCTCACTAGTCTTTCCCACCTGCAGACATCTCAGTCCCATTCCCAGGGGCTCACCACATGGTCCAGTGTCTCCCTTTGGTCCAGGTTCTCCAGCAGAGCCGTTGTCCCCTTTGGGTCCCACTGGGCCAGTTGGCCCAGGCAGCCCTGCTAGCCCTGTAGCTCCTGGAACACCTGTAGCAGTAGAAGAAAGAAATGGACATAAACTGGCCCTGATCTCAGGACAGGCTGGGTCAGGGTCCTGACGTTGCACGGACACACACTGCAGTCTGGTGGTGATCCTAGAAATGGATCCAGGAAATGCTGTGGATCACCACCCTAGGAGATGGGGGTCAGTACCCACCTCCTTGAGCACACGGACTTTCTAGAGTTGGAAGTAGATTCAAGTCAAAAATTCATTCTGTCCTTTCATCTCACACTCATACATTCATTCCACAAATTCCGGGGACATAGCAACAAACAAAAGGAATGGATCAAATCAGTTTTCCTTAGAACTTCAACTCCACCACATCATAGAAACAGACATTAAGAGACTAAAATGTGCTAGTCCAGGGCTGTTGGATTTGAGGAGGCGCCATGGAGAGAAAAATGAACTCAGTGTTGAGGATGGAGGCACCTGTTTTAAGGATGGTAGCTGGAAAGGCATTCTGTTCAGAATGCCCTGGAGGTGATGGGCAGTGAGCCACAGGGACACCCACAGGAAGAGCCAATGTCAAGGTCTCCAGGAGGAAAGAGATGAGTACAGGAAGGACCACCTAGCCACCAGAGTGGGTGCAGCTGAGCAGGTGTGGGGAGGAATAGAACACATCGAGGTTCCAGGAGCAAGCATGGCAGGAGACAGTGCCCACTGGGCCTCCAGGGGAGCTATCTGGTGGCTACCCACACAGGGAGATGGCAACATCCCTGGAGGGACTCTCCTGGCATTCCAGGAATTCTGGCAGTGCAGAAAGTGCTATAAGGAGACCATACTCCACAGGGAATGGTCTGGCTTTTAGTTGCCAGTGCCAGTCCATGCTATGCCTGAAACATCATCACATGGGATCCCCAGCTCCACCTTGCCCTGGCTCCAGGGCCTCTTGGAACCGAGAGCAGATAGATGCTTCAAAGTGCCCAGGGGACGTTGTCACCTGCCTTGCTTTGGTCTCACATATATGTGTAGGAATCAGAATTCTGAGGCATCTCCCAGCCCTCCAGGACTTTCTCAGGCCCAACCTTGGGTGAATGGAATTGAGAAGCAAGAGTGTAGCTTGACCTCCAGGCCTAGCTACTCCTTGTTTTCTGCCTGAGGACCAACCAAAACCAGGCTTGGGATACACATAGGATGGGGCACCTGCTCGGGAATGTGAGGTCTTGACTGAATTCCCTCTGCTCAAGGGTCACTACTGCTCCTGGTTCCTGGCTTTGAATCAGCTCAGCTCCAGCCATTGTGGCCACTTGAGGCAGTGAAGCAGTGGCTGGAAGATCTTTCTCTCTCTCTTTCTCTCTGTAAATCTGCCTTTCCAATAAAAATAAATAAACCTTTAAAAAAAAAAAAAAAAACTCTGTATTTGGTCCTTTGGAAGCCTTGGTCCAGCCTTCAAGTTTCTGTTGCTGCTTCTTTGTAGTTTTCTCTTGATGCCAATAAGACCAAAATCCTTCCCGCAATTCCCAGGGAAGGATGCAGCATCACCTGCAACAGTTTCTGTATTCACCCATACCTCTGGGGACCTCAGGAAATTCACTTAATTGGCACAGCAGAAAGATTTAACTGTCTTGGAGACCTCACAAAACCACAATGCTCTCTGCTTAGTTATTTGCCACTGGGTGCCAGTTACTGAGACTGAGTGGCTTCCCATGGAGCTGGAGCTAGTCCTGTAACCGGCTTGATTTTCTCAACCCTCAGGCTGGCTGCAGCTTAGCATTTCTGAGTTACAGTTTTCTAATCTGAGGAGGTTAGCATGTTCCTTGTAACCTCTTTAAGAGGATTAAACAAATTACTCAAATGAGTGTCCAAGTATAGGTTTGGGCAAAGAAATGTGAGGCTTCTTTTTTCTCCCTGTGTTGTACTAGGGAAAATGCTTTAGATTAAGCCTAGATGTGGAGTCATAAAGCCTCATCTAGGCTCACTTTCCATGCAGAGAAAGTTAATTAAATATTAAGAAATTTAATTAAATAAGTCCTGCATAGGCATCATTTAGAAGTGCCTATGAATGACGCCAAAGAGAATACCTGTGTCATATCAGAAAAGGGTTCTAGAGTCATTTGCCAAGGGTTCTATCAGTCATTTGCCAACCATTTGTTTGTTAGGGTGGGTGCCCTCTCGGGACCTCAGGGGAGGTACCAGGACAGTTGGGTGATACATGGAAACAGCTGGGAACTGAGAAAAGTCACTTGAATGCCAGCTGATGGCATGGACTTTGCACTGGAGACGAGAGAACCAACTTGTTAGAAGGAAGCAGCCCATCTCCAAGCTTTCCATCACATTCTTTAGAGTCGCTGGGATAGTGACCATTGCATTGCTCACTCTTCGCAGCCGGACAAGCGCTCAGTCCCAGCTCTACCTGGATCCCCCTTTTCGCCTCGGGGGCCCTCTCTGCCATCCCTTCCATCTCGGCCAGGCAGGCCATTTTCCACAGAGCTACACATGACCAGGGTGCATGCATTGCTGACTGCTGCCCTGGAGTAGGTCTTCACTTCTGCCCCCAGGTGTCCATGGGGCTGGGTAAGCAGGAACAATGTGAAGAGAAACAGCAGCAACATTGCCTGGGGAGATAAACAGAAAGACAAAGGACATGGTTTGGGCTTTAGGCCACTCCTTGAGAGTGGAAGACACCCCTGTTTACCTCCCGCATCCTGTTACAGAGCTCAAAGTAGCAAGATGCCAAAAGCAGCTTGGAGACAGATCAAATAGTGATCTTACAGGGCATGGCTTTCCTAGATGCTCACAGGGGTTGACAAGAGTTTCCTCAAGCCCTACCATTTTATTCTTGACTCTGCCTTTTCATGCGGCCTCCCACGGGCACCTGCTGAGGTGGTGTGTCTCATAGGGAGAGATCCAGTGAGTGTCCCTGAGCAAGACATTAGCCCTTGGCTCTGGCTGTTGACTTAGCTCAGACAAAACAGATTTTCTCTCACTTCCTTGATACATTGAACACAAAAGACCTGGAAGCCCACAACATTGGTCTGGAAGTGAGTCAGGGTCCCTACTGCTTCATGAAGTCTCTGCTGAGCTCAGAATGCAAGGGGAGCTGCATTGGCCAGGCACCTGGTCCAGGTATCATCCCTGGAAGCAGAACATCCCACAGGGAATCAAGGGGAAAGCTTTCAGAGATTCAAAGTTAGCTGGGAGATCCTGAGCCACCTTGGAATTCTTCACCTGAGAAGGCCTGGATGAGGGGCCTCATGGGGGATCACGACATGCCAGGTGGGCTAAGTCAGGTGAAAGATTCTGTGGGAGGCAGGAACAACCATCCAATAGCATGTCCAGTTACTGTCCGAGAGGAGATGGTAACTGAGGACAGAGACCAGGTACCAGGGTCACTCTCCATGCTGGGCATCTTTTTTCATCTCAGAGAACTTATGAAGTCAAAATTTATGAAGTCCAAGTAGAAAGAGCCAGTAGAAGGTCCAGAGGCTAGGTACAAAGCCCAAGGGACCCAGGCAAAGGAGAAAGGGGTACCAGGCCAACTGAATCAGTGTCAGGTAAAGGCATACCTGGTCACAGGATGGCTTCTACTCTAGCAATGGATGATGCTGGGGTGTGGGGGACAGCCTCTTTTAGTTTTGAATATGCCTCTTCTTCGAGTACCCTCACAGATGAGGTGTTTCCCTAAGAAATCCTCATGGATGCTCCCTGCTAAAGGCAGCTGCCAAGTTGCGCTTGTCCTGGCAGGTACTTCTTGGTGAACACCAAGGGTCAGCTCCAGGCCAGAGAGAGAACATGGCTCTCAGCTCTGGGACCCTGAGACTGATTGGGGGACAGGGTGCAAAATTAAGGCCAGCAGCTCCTGATGGCTCAGGTTTACCACAAAATGGATATGTTCCATCGCAGGGTCAGTGTGAGGATCTTGACAGAGTGGCCTCAGGGTCTCAGGCCTGAGAGTCTGACAGAGAAGGCAGGTGGAGTAGCCACGACCACTTCTACCCGTGCTGAGCTGACCTTCCACCAAGCTTTCTGAGTCAGATTTTAGACAAAGAAAAGGACTCTTCCGAGCATGGGTTGGAAAACCAGAGTCCTGTCTCAGTAAGTACAGACTTGAGGCCCAGAGGCAAGTGTGTGGAGCTGGGTCCAGAACCCAGACCTGGGAACACCTGACCCATTTCCCCTCCACTATTCTTTCTGCAGAAATCAAGATCAGAGAAGGAGCCAACAGAAAAGTTGTCACCTGTGGTTTCCATGGAGACAGCAGCACACCCTCGTCATCATTCTTTGTACCCCAGTGTAAGACCAAACAGCTTGGTGAAAGGGCCAAAGAGCACCTTAGGACCCCACGGGACCCCACCTTCCAAAGTCAAATTTCAGAGCAGCAGAGTGACACGGACTCCCCTTTCTATAACACCAGGATGATTAACTGGCCATTGGGGCAAGGGGCTATTTAGACAACAATGGGGAATATAAGACAAGAAGCGAGGGCACAAAACTCACAGCTTGCTGAGGGCACAGACACAGCTTGCTTCCTCTTGTTCCTCAGGAGCTCCAGGCAAACCAGTCTTTGCTGGGCAGGTACCTGTTATTTATGCTTATCCTGTAACCTGAGCTGCCAAGCTCTGATCTTCTGAGAACTCCCTTCAAGAAGTGGGGCAATTTTCTTCCTTGTTGACTTACTCTGACCCCTAACTGTGTTCTGAAAACAGAATGCCGCTATCCATAAAACTTCAACCACTAATGACTTTCAGATTTCCAGCCCATAATCTCATCTGCACCCCCACTGCAGCCCCAGGAGTACAAGAAAATATCAGCCAGTTGTGGGTGAGTGAGTGCCGGGATGGGTCTCAGCTTTCTTAGCCTATGCGAGGGACAGTGGGAGCACAGTTTTGGTGCATGTCTAGAGACTCCAGACTCCCCTTGGTTTCTATAAAAGCCTTGAGACTTCTGTTTCGAAGGCACCTTGAGACCCCTGCAGACCCATGCAATTGGCAAGAAGCCCGAGACCTTCCGGGTATTTCCGTCTCTCTCAACCTCTTCTGGTATATTTGGGTACTTTCCAGTAGCTTGGTCACCTCCTCCCCATGCCTATCCTGGCCCATACCCATCTTGTGGTAAACCTGTGCTAGTCTTGTAGTAAACAACTCCAGGATGCGGGTGGGTTACATAAGTTGTGCTGGGCTACACAGTGCCACCTGGCAAAGTATGTGACAGTTAAACTGATTGTCTAGGCTTATAATATGTAATAGATACTTATATCCAATAGAAATATTATTACTACCCTGAGGCTTGTTTTCCTGGACCCTTCCTGTATAAACTTGTACTTGGTTGCCAATAAATGGACAAGTTCACCATAACTGTCTCCGGCACTTCTCTGCTGAGAATGCTGTCAGCGCACCATATTACCCAAGTGAGTGGTCCATGGCTGAGACCCGCGCAGCAAGCGCCTATATTTTCTAGAGGTCCAAAGATGAAAGAGTTGCACAATGACCTACAGCAATTTCATACAAAACTCATATTTGCAGCTCTCAAGAGCTGGGCTCAGGCATGCCCACTTTCCCTCTCCAATTCAACAACCCAGAGATTGTGAAAGAGCCACTTGGGCATACCTGGGCAGGGGAAGAGCTCAGAAGCAGTGGCCTGTAGGGAGGAGTGACTTGGGAATGGCCACCTACCCCTCTTTCGCAACCTATTCAAGCCCTGGGAGAACTTTCCTCCTCTACTCATTGTCCTTCTGTAAAATTTGACTTCACTGGCGAGCCTCTTTTTGCCTCTGTTCAGACATACAATTTTTTTTCTTTTTTATGGGTTTATTTATTTTTATTGGAGAGGCAGATTTACAGAGAGAAAGAGAGAGAAAGATCTTCCATCTGCTGCTTTACACCCTAAATGGCCTCAGCTCCAGAGCATGCGGACAGGTCATAGATCTTTGCTCATGTCGGCCAGGGTTTCTTTTTGAAGCTTCTCCTGCCCCAGTGTCCCAACTGCATCTACTCACACTCATTGGACTCAAACTGAGCTACTGATTATTTCCAGTAAGTTCAACAGTGTTGCCACCAAATACATTTTCGTCCTCTGCCATTATTTGAATGTTTCCACTAGATTTACCTTAATAAGTCTACCTTAATAAATCAGCTGGAGCTGAGTTGATCCGAAGCCAGGAACCAGGGGCTTCTCCCGGGTCTCCCACATGGGTATAGGACCCCAAAGCTTTGAGCCATCTCTCCCAGACTGCTCTCCCAGGCCACAAGCAAGGAGGGAATGGGAAGTGGAACAGGCAGGACATGAACTAATGAATGAATGTGTCCTCTTCATTGCCCATGACTCTATGCTGTCTTCCCTTGTGGTTTTTGTTCTCATGTTTAAAAGTTCTTCAAGCTCCTCTATCAGGAGCTCCTCCTACTTGCAGATCTCACGCCGAATGGTGGGTTCTTAGCCCAGCCTGATTTAGCTCACCTCTCCTGTCCTGGCAGGAACAGTGGTCTTGTCCGATCAACCCACACCCATTCTGGCTCTTATTGTTGGGTGTTACAGCCCAGACACACCCGGTTCATCCCTAGACCCAGCTCTTACATGGTTCAGCAGGTACAGATCTAGCCTAGCCTGCCTTAAACCCACTCTGCCTCTTATGAGCACCAGCAGGTGCTTGATCCTAGCCCAGTATGGCATACCTCAGACCGAGTCCATACCCATGCTAAGGGATACTGCAGCCATGTCCAACCTAGATTACAGCCCCCCGTCCTGGCTCTTATGCTCACCAATCTCGCAATCACAGTCTAGCTGGGGCATCCACTTAGCTCATTCCCAGCCACAGATCTTGTATGTGCCAGTGGTTGCTATTGGTTGTTCTGACCCAGCCCAGCATAACCCATCATCCTCCTTGGCCTTTGCCATTGGATGCTGCAGCCTGGCCTGGCCCACCACAGTCCCAACTCTCACTGGTGGGTACTGCAGCCTAGTCCTGCCCAAACTGCCCCCACCCATGGCTTTCATGCAAAAGAGTAGGGGTAATAGCCTACTCTAGCCTGACCTGACCTGCACCCCATCCTGGGTCCTATGCATGCCAGTGTACTATGGTTTGGCTTAGCCCTGTCTGGTTTTCTCTCAGAGCCAACCTACATACCTGCCAACAAGTGAAACAGCCCTATCCAGCCTGGCCCATACCCAGCCTTGAATCACACACTCACCGGTGGGAGCTACGGACCACCAGGGGAGTTCCCCAAATTTCCCCACCATTCCCCTTCCCACTCCCAGACCCAGATCTCACATATACCAGTATGTGCTAGGCCCTTACCCAGCATAGTTTGCCTTCTCTGTATTAGCCTTTGTGTATCCTGGTGGGTGTTGCAGCCTAACCCACTCCACATCCAATTCTTGGGTGCACCTGTGGGTGCTACAGCCTGGACCAGCCCAGCCTGTTCCCAACCTCAGTACCCATGAGTGTTGATAAGTTTCATCATCATGCCCACCATCATTCCCAGCTCTTGAGCAAAGCAGCTGGTATAACAGCCTAGTTGGGGGGAACCCATAATCCCCCACAGAATCTGCTCCTAGACCCAGTTCTTTTGTGTGCTGATTAGTGTCATAGCCCAGCCTGGCATGGTCCACTCTGATCCGATACTTACTAGCAGGTATTGTGGTAGAGCTCTGCCAAGTAGGCCTGCCAGGCATAGCTTTCATGGGTGCTGTTAAGCGGTGGTTGATTCCAACAAACCCAGTCCAGCTCTCCTTTGTGGGCAGATGTATTGGTTTAGCCCCTAAGTGTCCTTTGGTTTCCTTCTTCTAAACCACCTGGTTTCAGTCCCCTTGTGCAATAGCTTGCTTGGTAGCGGTCCTCTAGAAGTCACTCCTCACCTGTCTTGTTCTCCCTCAGCAGTCCTCCTTCCCACACATTTCCAGACCCACTTCCCCAAGTAATCAACAGCCTTTCATGCCCACAAGCACACAGATCCCCAATTCCAGTCCTCTGGTGGTATGCTGTGTCAGCCTGAGGCCCTGCCTAGCTGCCCAGGGCCCTTACACAGTCATACACACGACCCCAGACCCTGTCTGTGCACTGGCATCTACCTCCCACATCTTTAAAAAAAATAGAATAGGCAATTATGCTGGCACACTGGTATAGTTAGCACAAATTTGGCATTAACCAGACCCAGGATACCCGCCAGCTATTAGCTGCTTTTCTCCCAGCAGTGTAACACTTACCTAAGTACAATGCAACCTAAGCAGTTGTTTATAGCTGGAGCAAATGGAAGATCTTTCTCTATAAATCTGTCTTTCCAATAAAAATAAACAAATCTTTAAAAAAGAAAAATTTCTATTCAGGTGTTTTGTCCTCTTCTTTTTTAAAAGATTTTTTTTTTTTTTTACTGGAAAGTCAGATTTATAGAGAGAAGAGATAGAAAGGTCTTCCATCGTTCACGCCTGGAGTGGCCACAATAGCCAGAGGTGAACTGATTCAAAGCCAGGAGTCAGTATCTTCTTCAGGGTCTCCCATCCTTGAGCAGGGTTCCAAGGCCTTGGGCCATCCTTGACTGCTTTCCCAGACCTCAAGCAGGGATCTGGATGGGAAGCGGAGCAGCCAGGACATAAACTGGTGCCCATATGGGATCCCGGCAAAGACAAAGCGAGGGTTTTGTCTTCTTCTTAACTGGAGTGGATTTGTTGTTAACTTTTTAACTATCTTATATAATCAGGATATTAACCCCTTGTTAGAAAAGAAGTCTGTAAGTATTTTCTATATTCTTGTATGCATCTTCAGTCTTTTTATTGTTTCCTGTGCTGATTGGAAGATTTTGAATCTAAACACAGTCCCTGCAGATAAACACAAGAACCGACAGCAAGCAGCCTAGATGAGGCCAGGTTACTGTACCAATGGCGTACATTTGGCTCAGGTCTGGAGCAAGCCAGGATGGGCTAGTTCATATCACCCACTGGCAAATGCAAGAACTGGAATGGGATATGCAACATGCCGGGTTGGACCGCCATATCAGCTAGTCCACATCAGGGCTAGGACTGGGGGCTGGCTGGGCTGACTAGGTAATAGCCCTACCAGCATGAACTGGAACTGGGGCTGGGCCGGGCTGAACTAGGCTACAGCACCTACTAGAAAATCCCGAGGTGAGGTGGGCCATGCCAGAGTGGGCCACAGCACCGAACCAGCACACGTGAGACCTGGGGGGTTTGGTGAGAACCCAGTAGGGGCTGTGTAGGGGGAGAACCCAGTAGTGGCTGCTTGGCCACTACTTCCACTGGTGAGTGTGAGAGCTGGGTTCGTGGGCAGACTAGGCTGGGCAGGACTACAACACCTGTTAGCCTGCATGTGAGATGGAGCAAGAGAAAGCCAGGCTGGAAAACTATACTTCTGGTGCATGTATAAACCAGAGTGGGTGTGAGTGGGTTGGGCTTTGCTGAAACAACAGATGGCAGCTGCTGGCACAGGAGACAAATTCCTTCAAGCTAAACAGCAGAACTGCCTGGAGAGTGCAAGATCCAAGAGTGAGAGTTGGCCCATTAGGGAACCAGTGGGCACCTCCCTCTTGGGTTGCTACTCCCACTGGCGAGCATGAAAACCAAGACTAGGGGCAGGCATGGCTAGACAGAGTGTGGCATGTGCCAGCACATTTGGTGTGG